ATCAAGATACATTTACTTGAGATGCAACATATGAAGTCTTGTTTTCTGAGAAATTGAACAAAATTAAGTGAGTTTGTACTTAAAACACGAACAAACTTCTGTTAACGGGGAAGGAGAATTTGCTCTCTCTTTGAATGAAGTTGCTTTTTCTAACCCTATTAGCAAATATTTGTTCTAGTTTTATGCATAAACTCACTTAATTTTGATCAATTTCTCATAAAACAAGACTTCTTATTTTACATAATTTGCTTTTCAAGTAAATGCATCTTGATTTAATAATCCTTAGACGAAGGATTAGACAAAAATACACTGTAAAAAATGACCATGAATTTAACAGTAAAAGACTGTAAAAATGCTACAGTAAAAACCTGTTAAATGGTTAATGGTAAATTCCCCTACTATATACGGTGAAAAACTGTATTGGACATTACATGTATTGGACATTAATTTTACGGTAGTATACCGTTTTTGGAATTGAAAAAGACCATATAATTTACAGTGAATAACCGTAAATTGACAATCCCAGAATTCCATGTTACTTTTCAAATTTGATGTTTTTTTTGTTTAAATAACTATGTTTCTTCTTAGTTGTTTTTATCAGTTTTGTATATTAGGGTTGTGTGTTACACCTAATGTTGTTAAATGAATGTTTATTGCATTATTTCAGTTTCATGTGTGTTACCATGATGGTGTTTAGTGTTTGTGTGAATGACACTGTGCACCTTCTATATATGTTATTATTTAAAAGCTGCTTGTGATGGGCTTTGGTTCATCATGTGACTTTCTCATCACCACCTGCATTTGGTGGTTATCAGTGTATTACAAAGGTACAAAACAGATTTCAGTATTTTAATAGGTTGGTATATTAACATTATATCAGTTAATGAAATTACAGTATTTAACTGTAAATTTAAATTAAAACCGTAAAACCTAAAATGTTGCTACCGTATTTTTTACGGTAATATTCCAGTAACCACAGCTGCTGTTTTTTTACCGTAAATTTTACGGAATTTTTTTTACAGTGTACGGCAAAAGAACATTACTTTTTCGCAGTGTGATCAGAAGGTATACAGTTTGTTTTGTAAAATCCAATAATAAGTTATGGAGATCTATTGGAACTTCAGACGTTTAAGCATTGCTAATGCTAATACGAGACATTTCCATTTAGAGACCATATAGACGTATTTTGTTCCATTCAGCTTATTCCTTAAATTTCTTTACTTGTTTTTAAAAGGTCTTAAATTTACCTTCATAAAACCTCCAGAAACCCTGTACTTAGTATTAGGGGGAGGAGCATTTCTTTCAAGAGAGCATCTGTTTGGACAAAAATCTGCCAATCAAGAAGAACCATGGTTTCCCCTCCCCCCTCCATTTATCCTGAAGGAGAAAAACATATTTTAACCGTCTTTTTAAATGACGTTTTTGTCAATGTTTAGCTTACAGATTAACTCAAAGCCAACAGACATTAAATAAAAACCACAAAACTGCAATTTTGGGATCTTAAAGGACTGTCTTCTTTCATTTCATGGCTTTATATAAAGCAGACTGCATTAAATAGCTTTATTGATCTCATCCTCTTCTGCCTTCCTCTCTACAGTCTCCATCTCTCTCTCTCCAAGCGGGGCGGGTGAGTGGGGTCGTCATACGGTCACTGCGCTTCACCAGGCTACACTGCGACTCAGAGCTGCAGAATATGCCAGTGTGCATTAGTGTAGGGCTGAACGGAGAGAGAGAGAGAGAGAAGTGCAGTATAAAAGAAACAGTAGGATGAGAAACTCAAGGAGACTATGAGAGAGAGCGAACATCAGCGCACTTACATGAACCCAGCTCAGAATGAGCCTTGCAAAATGTGATGCATCAAATATGGATGCGCTTTTTTGTGGATCTTTTAGCTAAAGTTCAAGGAACAGCCATCCATCACTTCAGATTATTTTCACATTCAGTTCAGTTTGAAATCGAACAACAGCGGTTGATTTGGTAGTACATGCTGCTCCAAAAAAGTTTGTCTTCAAAAAAGTATGACGATACTTCACTTTTTGGATGACGTCATCTTACTTTTCAAGGTTTTCTGAAATAGAAAAACAGCAATTTTATGAAAAGAAAAAGTGGAAACACTTTACAATTAGTTAATGCACTTTAGGCCGCAGTGTTGTTTTCTGATACTAAAGTTTTTATTCATACTTTTGAGTTTTTATTTTTACATATTCCATTTTCATTTTGAAATTTTAGTTAAAGTTTTAGTAATTTCATTGTGTGTTTTGTCATTTTTATGTTGTTGTTTTTTAAAATTGTCTATATAGTTTTTATTGATTTGTATTTTACTTTTACACTAATGAAAATAAGAAATGTTGAAATAAAATGTTTATTTTTAATGTATTTTATTTTATTTCAGTTAATGTTTATTTTAATAAAAGTAACAAAAATGTTTTAACGGTTTTAGTTTTAGTTTCATAGTCATTTGTCATAGTCATTCAATTGTGATTTTTATTAGTTTATTTTTTTTATGTCTATATAGTTTGTATTTATTTTTATTTAGTTTTAGTTTTAGTTTTAGTTTGTGTTATTTTAGTATTAAGTTAAACTAAATGAAAATAAGAAATGTTTCCTTGACAACTATAGCTAAAATAAAATTTAAAAGAAAAGTTTAAGGTTTTTATATGTTTTATTTTTATTTTTATTTCTGTTATCATTTATTTTACTTCAAGTAACAAAAAAATTATGGTTGTAGCTTTAATAACCTTGGAAATATCATAACAACATTTTTTACAGCTTATATAGGTCTTTAGTTTGTACACATTAACTCATGTTTATTTATACTTTAATGTATTAATATATGTAAATTAGCATTAGAGTATTGTTGCATTAACTAATGTTAACATATAAAGATTTATTGGAAATGTTACTGACTCAATTGAGTGTTCATTTGAGTCGGGGAGAGACTCTCCTCAGGCACATTTGGCCTTTGCAGTGTTTGTTTTCATTGGTGTTCGGTCATTTGTGCTGGAATCATTGCTCCGCCCACATCAGACTAGCTACATCCTTATTGGTCTAGACAGCATCCAATAGTAATGCACAACAGCTGGCAAGAGAAATACATGATCTCATTTTCAGGGAAGCCTAAAGCAAGCTTCATCAGCCAACATTCATCTGTAATCTTTCCTTCCTCCATCCCCCATTTAATCTCACTGCGCTCTGCTGGTCTGTGACCAGAGGCTCGTTCTCTTCCGTGTCCCTTTGCTCCCTTCAGCTGTCCAACAGAACTGATCCCAGATCAGAGATGAAGCACACAAAGGTCGTGACCCTCATCTGCGCCCTGAGCTTATGTGCTCGGTACATGATCTCATGACAGCACAGTGAGGTGGCTCTCTTTCGAAAGATGTGACATAGTTTGAGGGCAGTTAAAGATGGAGTTAGGATCAGTTTCTATTGACATTTTGTCAGAATGAGCCCTTCCTCTGCCTTTAGGCTCACAGCGGCCCAGAATCACTGCGGTTCAGAAGTTCACAGTGTCTCTTTTTCCTGTTACATAAAAAATAAGGCTGCCAATCAATTACAAAATTTAAGCATATTAATTATTACATGATATGCTCATTAGTTAAACAAATAAAATCATTATATATATATATATATATATATATATATATGTATTAGAGGCCGGTAAGATTTAATGTTTTTCAAAGAAGATGATCAATCTAATGTGTCCTTGCTGAAAAAATATTAATTTCTTAAAAAAAAAAGTTTGTTAGACAAAAGCATTGAATACACAAAATATAGCTTTAGAAGTCAATATATTGTTAGTTTTATTTCCACTTTTTATACTTTTTTTTTTTTTATAATTAACACACTAATGTCAAATTGACAGCCATAATAAAAATGAATTTGTAGTATAATGATCTGAATTAGTAAGCACTAAAGGAAATAAGTTTGTACTTTGAGAAAATTGACAATTAATACTGTATCACTGATATTTAAATTTGTTGCAGACATGCACTTCCTCTGATCATCATCAAGCGTCTGATGCCTCTCATCAGAAAGCATTGATCACATTGAGAACCCACAGAGAAACGGAGAATGTATATGATCCATATGATCAGCATTTGGATGCCATGTTCAAAATCAAGATCAATCTCTGCGTGCAGTCACAGGACAAAGAGCAAGTACAAAGTTATTCAGCTATACAATTCTGGTGTCAAAAGGCTAAACTCTTGATGGACACTTGATGAATTTCATCCTTTCCTTATTCTTCGCGATTCTTTATTAGAGTTCTTGATTATTTAACTTGGTCATATACGCACATATCCCGCAGAAATACATGTCCAGTTCAATATTTTAGTGGATGATGGGAGTTGACATAACATTTCAAGCAGCGTCACATGCTATTCTTCATTGAAAACATTTATCAAATTTTTCTATAATTATTACACACATTTAGGTTGTTTCGATGAGCTCATACTAAAAGATCATTTTTTTACCTAAAACCCAACAATAAAGAAATGTTAACCTAAAAACGTCCGTGTTTGTCAAGCAGCCTGACGCAAATGAATTGAAATAAACTTGATTGACAGGAGAGACACCATGGACACAGTCAGCCACAGAAACGACAACAAACTCGGCGGTCATGAGGTGAGTTTCTGCTCGATGTTTTTAGAAATTCTAAGAAATAAATAACGCATTTTTATGTGACATTTTGTAGAGGTTATGGTATTAATAACCCATAATCATTAATTAAAAAAATTATAAACTCATTGCATTTGTTTATGGATGATGGGAGTTGACATAACATTTCAAGCAGCGTCACATGCTATTCTTCATTGAAAACATTTATCAAATTTTTCTATAATTATTACACACATTTAGGTTGTTTCGATGAGCTCATACTAAAAGATCATTTTTTTACCTAAAACCCAACAATAAAGAAATGTTAACCTAAAAACGTCCGTGTTTGTCAAGCAGCCTGACGCAAATGAATTGAAATAAACTTGATTGACAGGAGAGACACCATGGACACAGTCAGCCACAGAAACGACAACAAACTCGGCGGTCATGAGGTGAGTTTCTGCTCGATGTTTTTAGAAATTCTAAGAAATAAATAACGCATTTTTATGTGACATTTTGTAGAGGTTATGGTATTAATAACCCATAATCATTCATTAAAAAAAATATAAACTCATTGCATTTGTTTATTTCTATTGTTAGTCGGTCGGATGTTTCCGGATCGCTGGTTCGGCTGGTTCGTGCATTTCCGCCAGAGAGCGACGTGCTTCACGCCGCAGCGTGCGGAGCGCGTGAGTGGTTGAGTTCGGCTCTGAAGAGAGCGCGGACACCACTGCACAATGACAAACACGTGCGTGCTTTATTCACTCACACACAATGCACTGTTATTAATTCAGCTCCAACCGCTTAACATTAGACATTAAAGATTGACCAGGCTCTTACACTGAAGGTTCAGCTGTCAGTGAGGGCAGATGATGACCAGTGCTGGTGAGGTCAGCTGGGTCTCTCGTTCCTCTTTTTCTGTGAAATGTTTACTGGTAATACAAATATCATGCAAAACTTATATAAGCAGGGGATAAATATTACATTAATAATCATAACGTACAAGGAGTTTATTTTAAAATAATATATGCAGTAACACATGTTCTGGAGCTTTTTAAACTACTTATTACTCTTGCAATTTCTGCAATTTTTTCATTTTCCATCGTACACTACACAAATATTCTGGATTAATATAGACTATGTAATTTAAGAGTCTTGATTTACGGTTGAGCAGTTTTGACATATTTATAGACTTCAATGACCAATGACCATGCGATAAGATAAAGATAAAGCATATATTATGAAGCATAACTGTTCATATTTATGGAAAAAATTCACATCCATAAACATCTTTACTGACATGTTTTACATAACTGTAAAAGTAAAAAGCCTATTAGGGCTTATAACATTATAACCAAGTATATCTCGATTGGTAACATCAGTTGAAACGGAAAGTAGTTTTGGAGACATTTTGGAAGGATTTTTGATAAAAGATCACGAAAACAATATGAAATATATATTTTTTTAAATAACATGCACTGATGAATTATGCAAAATGAGACCAGGGTTGGATGAATGAAGTCAGATATAGTTCATTACAATATGTGCAAAACTCTTTGTCTCCATTGTAAACAGTTCATCTATTGATTTAAGTGTCTAGATATTGTTGGGGCAACTGTATGATGTAAGTGTGTGTGTTTGTGTGTCAGGGTCTCAGTGTGCTTCATATAGCAGCTCTACATGGACATCTGGACTGTATGGATCTGCTGCTGGAGGATGGTGGTTCTGTGGATGTGAATAGCAGTTGTCCTCATGGACGCAGACCTGTACATATGGTGCTGACCGCTCAGAGCCGACCCAACACACACGCCTGCCTCATTTACCTGCTGGAACATGGAGCCCAGATCAATGTGTATGAACGCGTAATCATTAAGATTCATATTTAATAATGAAGGTGAACACAGATATGAGTATTAAAATGCAGATTACTTTGTTTCTTACATCAAAGTGAAACAATATTTAAAACCAATTTTAGTTATTATTTTGGAGTGAAACTGGATATTCAACAAGGGAATAAATGGGCGGGACTTGGTTTTACATACTAGGTTTTGATTGGATTAGGAAAGGTGGGTGTTACATAACATGAGCTAATGAGCAAAATCAGGCAAGAATTGGCAACATCAGAGAAAAGAAAAGGGAAAGTCATTTTGGAGGTAAAGCATGTTACTATATTTTGATCAAAGATTACGAAAACAATAATACATTTATTTATTGTGTTAAATAAATTTGTATTTATTTATATTTTAATAACATGCATGGATGAATTGTGCAAAATGACACCAGGATTGATCAGCCAAAAAGGCAAGTAATATTTTTAAGGTGGAGAAAGCTAATATTTGATAAAAGATTATGAAAAAAATATTTAAAAATATTTGTTTATTTTATTTTATATTGTCATTATTTTATTTTATTTTATTTTTTTCACTGATGAATTGTGCAAAATTAGACCAGGATTGGTTCATTTCAATTGAAAAGTAATTTTTTTAAGGTGGAGCAACTAATGAGCAAAATCAGACAAGAATTGGCAACATCAGAGAAAAGAAAAGGGAAAGTCATTTTGGAGGTAAAGCATGTTACTATATTTTGATCAAAGATTACGAAAACAATAATACATTTATTTATTGTGTTAAATAAATTTGTATTTATTTATATTTTAATAACATGCACGGATGAATTGTGCAAAATGACACCAGGATTGATCAGCCAAAAAGGCAAGTAATATTTTTAAGGTGGAGAAAGCTAATATTTGATAAAAGATTATGAAAAAAATATTTAAAAATATTTGTTTATTTTATTTTATATTGTCATTATTTTATTTTATTTATTTTTTTTCACTGATGAATTGTGCAAAATTAGACCAGGATTGGTTCATTTCAATTGAAAAGTAATTTTTTTAAGGTGGAGCAAGTTATTATATTTTGATCCTAAGATTTTAAAACAATATTGAATAAATAATATAATTGATTGTTTTTTTATTTTATTTTAATAACATGCACTGACGAATTGTGCAAAATTAGACCAGGACTGGAAACTATTATATTTTGGAAACTGGAAACTATTATTATATTTTGATCGAAGATTATGAAAACATTTATTCAAATTTATTTTATTATCTTTTTTGCAATAATATACAAACATGCACTAATGAATAGTGCAAAATTAGACTATTAAATTATTAGATACTGAACTCAAATTACCAGTGGATGAAAAAGCAGACATATGGATACATTGTCAGCATAATCATGATTTTAGTAAAGTTATGGTGTCAGAACTGTGTCCTCATATATTAAAGGGGTCCTATTATGCTCTTTTACAAAGTCTTGATTTTGTTTTGGGGGTGTACTAGACCAGGCTCTCACACTAGGTTGTTCGAAAAACACATTATTTTTCACATATTTTACATTATTACAACACCTCCTCAGTCTGGCATGAACGGCTCGAATAGTTCCTGTATCAAATGAAGGCCCGCCTTCTAAAATATGAAATGTGCTGTGATTGGTTAACTGGGCCAGTGTGTGCTGTGATTGGTTAGCTCCATAGCCGGCTGCGAGCTTCAGTGTAAATATTACATCAACATCAAATCAATTTGAGCTCGATTTAAACCCGTATGATTATAATCACTCTAAGTTCATCTGCCTTGGGAAAGCTAGCGTGTCTCCGACATAGTGATAACACTCGTTGCCTTCTCTAGTGCGACCTCTCTAGGATCTGGGGCCACAGGCTCACTGCCAGGTATCGGTGTCAGGTGCTATTGATTTAGATTCATTTACATCACATTGCATATGGGCAAAAGCTGATGGCACGAAGTCAGATACGCAAATGAACATAAATGTGTTTGTGCAACAGGTTTCTGAAAGATGCCATGTGGTGGAAAGACAAACAGCAGGGGATCAAGAAAAGCAAACAGCTACATGATCTCAGGCAGGTCCAGTGTTGCAGTGTGCTGGATCTGCCTCACTTGGGTCGCTCCCTAAAACCAGATGCCTCGCCCTGGACTGAGGTGGCCATGCACTTGGCCGAGGAGCTGAAGCCAGGACACTATTAGATACATTACACAATTAGAAAAAAAGGTACAAAAACTGTCACTGGGGTGGTATCTTTAACGAAAGGCACTAAAATTTACTTTTAATATACTGATATGCACTCTTTAGGGGTAAATAAGGTACAAAGTTGTACCGTTTTCAAAGGTACCGCCCCAGTGACAACTTTTGTACCTTATTTTTTCAGAGAGTATATCATCTATAGACACCAAAGTCATGTTCTCAATAGTTTCCAACCTTAAGATTGACAGCAGAAGGTCTGGACTCCATCGCAGCTTTCATTGGCTAAGAACCGCCCAAGAGGTGTCTGACTGGCATGTAAAGCAACCAATCATGTTTAGGGGCGTGAAAAAGTAAATAGTAAAATCTCTGTCCCTACAATAACAGACTGGTGTGCAGCCAGTAAATTATATAAGAAATTAAAACTTTTAGTGGCAGTAAAGACATTTTTAATGTTGCCAAAGATTTCTGTTTCAAATGAATGCTGTTCTTTTGAACGTTCTATTCATGAAAGAAAATAAAATGTTTGACGTTTCCCACAAAAACATTGCACTGCATTATAGCACAACTGTTTTCAGCATTAATAAAAATCAGAAATGTTTCTTGAGCAGCAAATCAGCATATTAGAATGATTTCTGAAGGATCATGTGACACTGAAGACTGGAGTAATGATGCTGAAAATTCAGCTGCGCATCATAGGAATAAATTACATTTTACAATATATTACAATAATACAGTTATTTAAAATTGTAATATTTCACAATTTTCCTGTTTTTCCTGTATTTCTAATCAAATAAATGCAGCCTTGGTGAGACTCAAAAACATTTAAAACATCTTACCGACCACAAACTTTTCACAAACTTTTAAACGGTAGGGTATAAACACTTCAGAATGTTGATTGTTTTTATTTTCACATTAAAGTAGAAAATAAAATGGTGCTTTTGTCTACAGTGTAGATGACGCAGGAAGCAATGGGAAAAAGGACCTCGAATCAAAGCCTATGTCTATGGCTCTGACACATTCTCGACAGGTTTTGTGAGATTCAGCGAGAGTCGAACGCTTTTCCAAAACACAAAAAATCTGAGCAAAGGCTAAAATTTGTGGAGTAGCTTTTAACTGCAACGTGCTTCTGCATGCACATCATCAAAGGGTGAAAAAGGGAGTAGAAAACATGTATAAGGGCGGAAAAAAAAAATCTCTGAAAAGTTCCTCAATGATGTAGGTGTGAATGAAAGTTGAACTCTTGAGCGAATGCGGTTTGGAGACTGGAGGCGTCAAGGTCGAAACCACAGTGACCCGGGTCACGGCCCAAAACAGCTCTGCTGTCGTCATCCGATCCCAGAGGACACTTGGCTTCATTTTTGACATGCGAGAAAAGCGCTGCCCTTTCACACTGACCTAGAATCCGTTTTCTGTATGTCGACTTTAACCTCAGCCATTACGAAACATGCCACAAAATAGTTTGATAACACCAGCAAAGGGCAACTTAATCCGCCCTCCTAAGCGATTCTCTCCCCAGACGAGAGCTTCCTGAAGTGAATGTGTGCTGACCTTTCCTCAACCTTGCACTCCAAGTGTAAGATCCCGTCTGCCAAATACAGAGGAGCGCAAATGTGTCAGTACAGACCGCGTTTGAGCCCCTCTGAGTCATTCGGACATTTTATTAGAAATTCTTCACATTTGCTGTTTAAGAAAATGAACAAAATCTGCATTTTGGCCAAAGATCTGTATTACGCAACCCAGATTTAATCCAAATTTTTAATGAAACACATCATAGTTCTGCTTGGGGCGATTCCTGCAAAACATGTTCATGAGGTATGAACATGTCCAAAAAAACAAAAAAAGTATACATACATACACTTTAAAGAAAATTAAGCTTATTTTATGAACAATTATCTGCTCTTTTTTTTATCCAAATGGGAAAATAGGCTTTTTTATTGCCAAGCTCAGTTGTTAAGACTTTTTGCCTAAACATTTCCTGATAAAGCACATTAATTTGCTTTAATTGTTAACACTTTTAGCATGAACATTTTCTGATAGTTGAGCACATTTAGTAATATCATAATATACACTAGGGGTGTGCAATATTAACAAAAAATAATATCTCAATATTTTCTGGGATTTTATCGATAACGATAATTAGACGATATTTTGCTGAGTGTGTTATTGTGCTGGTATCTTAAGGACTGCCGTGGACAGCTGACTTGATATTCTTCATATTCTGTGCAGTGGTCAGTTCACACTGATAGAAATAAATCTTTTCCAATAAGTTTTAACTGATTTTTACATTTTATGGGCATTTTGACCTTTATAAAGCCTTTTTTTTTTTAATTGTCCATTATCTTTTGAATACTGATATTTGAAATTATTTAAATAATAAAAGATACTCTGAATGTGAAATTAAAACCGCCAGTAGGTGGCAGCAAGTCACTGTTAATAAGTGAGTCAATGCGATTGAACCGAATCATTTAAACGATTGATTCATTCAGGAACAAAACCGCATAATGTTGCTCAGAGACGCAAAACAGCGCTGTGGTTGTGTTTGGAGTTATTTTTTGTTGTCGAAATAGCACAAAAACAGGAAATATGGTGTCTAAAGCGTAAGTCTCTTAATTAACTTATTGTTTATTGAACTGTTGTAAAAAATATCACATTTGTAATCAGTCATTTTTGGAGAAAAAAACGGCACTCTTCGTGTGAAATTGATTAACTATTTGAAGTGGTATAAATATATTAGGCCACGACTTCCCATAATAGACTGAATCATCAGCACTCTAGTCTAGACTTCACGTAATGTATGTGTGCACTCTATAGGGGTGTTTTGAACGTTTTTTGCAAAATACTTGGTCAAATCGCACATCGTTAAAACAATTACGATATTATCGCAAACTATATATATCGCACACCCCTAATATACAAATTTTTAGACCTTAGAAAAATTAAAATGTCATCCTGACTGACTGAAAATTTTTTTGAAGGCAAATTTATTTAAAACTTTTAATTTATTAGACTGGAAAAAACAACGCTCAAATCGCTTAATCTTAATAATGCTAAAAAAGCCTTCATTTTCTTGTCGATCTGTTTCTGATTCTGAGATTCACCCACGATGCATCAGATCCTCATTTGTACATGACAATGTTTACCTTTCAAAAACTCATACAACTGAATTTTATTATACTCCTGTACAGCACACAAATTAAGCATGGCCAACACTATGGCTCTCATGACTGCAGTATTTAAAGCAACAAATTACCCTAAAACGACCTTTTCTTTGCTTGTCACACCACCAGTTGATATAAAATGGATTTATAAATCAACACAAACAATCCTTACTGAAACTGACTCAACATCAGGTTATTAAAAAATGACTTGCTTAAAGTCTAACCTTAAACAAATACGTGTAGTGTAGATGTGATGAAGAGTGAGCGAAACAAACACTGGATTCAGGGTAAAACATTTCTTTGAAATGTGAACAAAAAATCCAGACACATCAATTCATTCATGAGCGAATTGGCTTTCGATTAGAAGAAAATCAGCAGGAGCCTCTAGAGAAGCCGAAGCCCCTTCCACAATCATCCACGTATAGACAGAAGATCAAGCCTTTACGAATGAAAGATTTCTCATGTCCTTTCATGTCTTTAGACGCCTAAGAAGAAATTAGCTGGCAACTCTGGACATGAAACAACAGACAGGTAAGTTCATTCGAGGGTTTATGTGCGTTTGTTCTGATCTGGTCCTCTCCCTCGGCTACAGATTCAATCTCATGATCATCGATTCTCCCACAAAAACAAGCTGTCCACTGAAAGGGGCCGGTGGCCTGAACAAACCCTCCCAAACCCCTCCGTCCGATGCGCATATGAACCGCTTCATCAGTACATCTTCTGTCGGCTTGGCAAAACGGCCTCCTTCAGGAAAGAGAAGATGAGCAGGATGCCCGAGCGCTTGCCCCGCTTGCCTTTAGTGAAGTAATTTGACACCACATCGTCTGAGAAAAACACAGGAACAGGGAATAATGAACAGGAGTTAAATAGGACTTAGACTTCACTGTTATAAATGTCTGGATGGAAGTGGGTGATCAGTAAAAATTTTAATTACATTATTTTGTAACATTCTGATGATAATATCATAATATGCACATTGTAATGGAACCCCATATATTTTTGATGGCATGTAAATTACAACAGAACATTTCTTTTTAATATTATTATTACTATTTTTTTATTAGACTGAAAAATGCATATTTTAATATTTTTTGAAGGTATGTGAATTACCAAAAAAGCTTTATTTAAAAACTTATATTAATAAAATCTATTTTTATAATTGTATTTATTATTTTTATTTAATCAGACAATGTTCAAAGTAAAATGCATATTGAATATTTTTAAAGGTATATAAATTATTAAAAAAAAGCTAATTTATTTTTAATAAAATTTTTATTTTTATTTTGGATTATTTATTTATATTAGGCTGTGAAACAATGCTCAAAGTTACATTAATATTTGATTATTTTTGAAGGCACATTTATTACAAAAAAATATTTTTAATAAATTATTTTTATTATATTTATTTATTAGTTTTATGTAATTAGACTTAATTAATTAATACTTAATTAGTATTAATTAAGTATTAATTCCAAGTAAAATGCATATCTAAAGTGTTCCAAGTAAAATGCATATCTGAATATTTTCTGAAGGTAAGAATTACAAAATAAAAACAAATTTATTTTTAATAAAATCTATATTTTTATTATTTTATTTATCATTATTGAAATAGACTGAAAAAAACAATGTGCAATAAAAATGCACATTTTTGGACAATTTTTTTCAGTGTTAAAATGCACTTTTTTTTTTTTATTTCAAATGTACTTCTTACAATTATACTAAATGGCACTAAATAATGCAATTAAATATGTTATTTTATACATTATGCACTATGTATTAAACTATGTTATCTACGCTTTTTAAACCCAAACAAAATTTTAACTGAAGCTAACTTTGCCCACTTT